ATTTGGCTGTGACATAATGATTCTGTAGGCACTAGTGTATAGACTACATATATTGATGATTTCAAGAGGGCCTTGGGTTTTCATTTCTGAGTTGTTGGTGGTTCTACTATTCGTTCTTCTTCAGTTAGACATTTCTTCTAAGTGTTTTTTTAATGCTAGTTCAGATAATAGTCCCAGCAGAGATGTAAACAAATTCAGAAAACATCATTAGTTCCTAATATATAATTATCTGCCTAATAAATTGTTCAAAAGCACAACCAAGGTGGTAAAAAGAATCCTGTTAAGGAATGTTGTGAGCAAGAAAAATCCAGGCTAACTAGTAGCTGGAGTTCTTTATTTAGTAAAGAAGGTTTCAAGAATTAGAACTGTTGAGTGCACTGATTAAGGCAACATCCTTCTGAGCTCAGAAGGGATGTTTTCTCTGCTCTCATTAAGTATTTGTAAAGCCTGCTTCTATGCAGTTTTAGAAAGCCTTGCTCAGTGTGAAATTTACTGAAGGCAGAATATTTGGTAAAGCTGCTAAAATCTGAGAAGTCTGTACTGAGCACATGTGAACAGCAGTCTCCTATCTATGCCCACCATCTCTCTTCCAAGCCTCCCCATACTTCACAGACTTTCATCCTGACAGAACTAGGGTAATCCTGTTTCAGGTCACGAGGTGTATTTGTCTGACATAAATGCTGATGTGTGCTAAATTTCAGGCTTTGGCTTTTAGGTCTGCGGATGCACAGCACAAAGGAAAAGTATCTGTCAGTTGGTGTATATATTGTTTTAATGAGTAAAATAGACTTCCCTTTTCTCTTCCCTGAGTAGCAGAATATTATTGTTAGGGCATTTTGAGGAGCTTTTGGCTAAATTGACATACCCTGAAAAAAGCAGTTGACACAGCTGAAATGGTTGATAATGACTTACACATGACTGATTAATAGGGCTTCATAAGAAACGCTGGGCAGTCATTAATTTTAATCCGGTATAGAATAGAGTCATCTGAGAGAATCCTAAAGCCATATTACAAGTAAAAGCTATATAGAAGTGAATGAGTTAACAAGTAATTTTTTTTTTACCATTTTTGTTCTGATTCTAATTTTGCTTGTAATAGAATGTGGTAATACAATTCCGTTCAAAGAATGTGGAATTAAAGTGCTATCTTTTTCTTACCTGGCATTAAAAACACCTGTTAATTACCAGCTTCTCATTAGTTATTCATTTTCATGCTGTTGCAACTGTTGATGAATTTCGCATGTGAGTGCTTGAAGCATTTGTCAGTATGCATTTTTGTTTTTTAAAAGCAGGTGTAGAGTAACTAGTGAATGTTCTTTCTACAGTATTTGATTGTTTACAGAATATTCTTTGTTTTAAAGATGGGGATACTAGCGCAACAGAGAGTGGTGATGAGGTTCCTGTGGAATTGTATACAGCTTTTCAACACACACCGACTACAATTACTTTAACTGCTACAAGAGTTACAAAAGTCAATGATAAGAAAAGAAAAAAAAGTGGAGAGAAAGAACAGAACATAGCAAAATGTAAAAAAGTAAGTGAATGTAATTTCTCATTTTACAGCTCCGTGTTATAAATTACAGCTATGTGACATCTCTTACCAAGAAACACTGGTTTTAAAAATCAGGCGATTGTTACTAATAATATTTTACTATCTGGGTTTAGCTTGAAATGTAATACTCTGCAGTAAATAATACAGTCTTCCCTGCCCCCCTCCAAATTCAAATTAATATACACTAGCCATGAAAGTTCAGTTTTATAATTGAGGCAGAATTTGTAAGGAGGAATTGCATTTACTGGACCACTTGATACAGGTAGAGGTGGGGCAGGACAAGCTTTGGGTACCCAGAGAAGAATTCTGTGTGTGAAAGTCTTTGGTTTTGATTGTTTTAAGTTCAGAAATGTTTGCTGTCAGTTGTCATGCTGTGACTTCAGGTTGATTTGTTTGAGTTGAAATTGTGTGGAATTGTCCTGTCAGAAAGTTAGCTGCTAAACTACTTTGGTAAACAGGTTATTGACATTGTACTGTTTTAGCTACAGGTGTAAACTATATAATATATGTGAAGAAGTAAAGTATGTGGAATTTCCTAAACTAACGAGTTCGTTTCGGCAGTTCAGTTTCAATGGCTTGGATGAGAATTTTCTCCTTTTAAAACTTAAAGTCAGAATTAGTTACTGGTATCTCTTTGGAAATGTTGAGTAAAACGTTTCCTTTTTTAATGAACGGTTCTGAATATAAATTTACTAACACATACTCTTGTGGTACTTCCCAACACTGTGTGAGACAATTTAAAGAATGAGATTTTGTTGTAGAATGACAAACTACTTTCAGAAGTTAACTTTACAGGATATCTGTGACACCTGCTTCCCCCTCCCCTCTTTCCACAAATAGTGTAGTGAAGGTTGTGGGCAATTTACAGGTTTACCTGATAAGTATGGGATGTTCCATAAGTAACTTTTCAGTCATTCTACCTTGAATTCTGCAGTTTTAGAGTCATGTTGTAATAAGGGAGAAAGGCAGGGTTATCTGGACTACTAGCTCTGACATCCAGTATGCACTTAGCTTGGAATTTTTAAAATATATTACCCTGTTTTTTAAAATATATTTTGTGAGATGTAACCTGTTGAGATTTCAGTGTAGTTTGTTCTGGTGTCATTGTCTTGCAAGTTTCACTGAGAATGGTCTACATTGAAAAGCTGTTAATTTGTTAATAGATTTTGAATTCCTTAAGAGATTTTATATTTCCAAAAAATATAATTATCTAATTTTGTTTCAGGCATTTCGAGAAGGATCCAGGAAATCGTCACGAGTAAAGGTAATGTGACTTTTGTTTGGGTTTTGTTTTAAACCTTAATTGTACATTGCTTAAATGATACGAAGTGTCAAGAGTGCAATTGGGGTTATACATTAAGCACCAGAATACTCTTGTGAACTAATGTACTACATAATTTAAAATTACTATGATGCTTAAGGGGACTACATCTTTATGTCCTGTGAAGTTAACTGAAATAGTATAGTGTAAATTTTTATTCTGAGAATACTTAGTTTTCAAGAGCGAGTGGAGGAATTAGAGCTCATTTGTGCTATGCAAGGGAGTAAAGTTGAGTGCGCACCTCTTTTGAACTTAGTGGCTGCAGCTTTTCATAGCGCTAAGCAACAAAAGAATGAGATGGCTGTATTGCATTTGAAAGCTAAAGTAGCAATTCTGCTCTGTTGTACCTCCATGTATTCATCTGGTGGGACTCTGCTCTCTACTGCCGGCATAGTTTAAGGAATCATGTTGGGATGTCTGCTTTATAAGATTTAAGTGCTATAGCAATCTTTAATTTTCTGTGAGATAAAAACATGCATGGTGTGAAAACTAACTGTTTCCCATAGTTTTTTCATTCTTGCGATATAAACAGGTGGGACACAATTTACACTTCAAATGTGTAAGATGTGACTTGTGAATAGTGAAGACAGAATTGGAGAGGAAAAATATCTATTTTGTATTTTTTGAATATGGTGTTTGTAAGGTTACGTTGTGTTTTTTCCTGGTTTCTTAGCATCACACCTTTTTTAATGCTGTTTGTGTGTATGGTTCTCTTGATGCATAACAGAAATTTAAACAGGTAAATTGAATTGCTGAACTGCTTGCTGTTTTATTAATGTTTAATAGTGTCTCTGCTCAGGTGGATAGAAAAGGGAGCATTTGTTGGCTGCTGCTCTCCGTAAGGAGCATTGGTTTGCTGCAGCCTGGCTGCTGCTTTGAGGTCTGGAGGTACAGTGGCACTTGCTTTAAAAGTGAAAGGATCTGAAGCACTGCAGAAGAAAATTGTTTAGTGAGGAGCAGATAAGGGGAGAAAAATGGTCTGTGCAAAACCTGTAATGTTAGTGTCACAACCTTAATGTAGTAGGTGTGGGATTTGTGAAGTTCAGTAAGATGTGAAGCAGAAAAAAAGATAACAGCATGACCCTTGAAGTTGAAAGGGGAAAATCAAATCTGTTTATTGTAGGATGGAAGCTGGAGTTCTCTATATTTGCATATGTTCACAAAAGTTGAGTAGGCAAGGAGATCTGACCCTCCAACTCCTGCACTTACGGATTCATGATGCAGAGCAGTTGTGGGAGGAAACAATGTCAGACTCCATTTTCATCCTGCTAAAAGCTAGAATCTCGAAAGGGGGAATGTATTCCTGAACTTGGATGGTATTTATGCAATGATAAAATTCCTAAAAGGACAAATGTAATGCTACTGAATTCAACTCAATGCTTTTAAGCAATGCAGAATTTTATACCAAACTTCCTAAAAAAACCCCAAACAACCCAAACCTTACATCAAATGCATACCTTTGCCCTTCACTTTGTGTCTTGTTTCAGGCTTACTTTTTTATTTTAATATCTTTTTCTCTACCTTGTAATATCTGGTCACTTTCTTTAATTTTTAGGGCTCAGCTCCAGAGATTGATCCTACTGACAGTTCAAACTTTGGATGGGAAACTAAAATCAAGGCATGGATGGATCGTTATGAAGAAGCAAATAATAACCAGTACAGCGAGGGTGTCCAGAGGGAGGCACAAAAAATAGCTCTGAGATTAGGCAATGGAAATGACAAAAAAGAAGTCAGCACCAGCAATCTGATTTTCAAACCTCCAGTAGAGGTAATGAGCTGTGCCGTGTTGTGTTACTGGATACTGGTTTTGTGCCATGACAAAGACAACCATTTAGAATTTAGATGTCATTTTTTTAAAAAAAAAAAAAAAAAGGACTTCACATTCATTTTCTATATCTTGTCTCACTAGATATAACCAACAGAGTTTTAACAACTTCTTCAGAATTTGTAATTGATTTTTATACATCCTGTATTACCCTGGTTATGTTTACACTTGCCTATCAGTTTGCATAAGCTAAGGTGTTAGTCTGAACCTGAACATTGGATTGTCCTTAGACTGTCTTTTGTGGTGATCATAACGTGGTAAAATTTGCTGCTGATTTTCTGCTCTGTGAGGAGTATCAGGAGAGGTTAGAGTAGATGAAAGTGTTGGAGTAGATGAAAGTGTTGAAGTTGGAATCTTACTTTTCTAATATGTGTATCAACATGTTACTTGTCCACATTTTTTCTTAAGGTATGGTAAGTGTTCTGGATGTTTGGGTACTCAGAATAGAATTTCATTTGCTAGTTCATGAAGGATGTTTCTGATGGTAGGTGATACTCTCATACTGGTATTTTTTTTTTTTTCTTAACTCTCGTGATCCTGTGATTTCTAGTTTATGAAGAAATTGTGCAATGTCTTTTTCTATTCTTAACTTACCAGCTTAAAATCAGAGCCATATAACAGACCTTAGCATTTTGTAGCAGAAATCTTGAGGAGTAGTTACTGTAGCAGATTAATGGAAGCATCTTTGCTTCTTTTCCTCAAAGACCATCATGGCATATGGGGCACCCTCCTTAGAGGAATATCCCTGCTTACAGAGCCTTTTGCCTACATAGAGGCTACTTCCTTTTTGATTGGTGATGACAGTTATGAGAGGTGTGAGTTCACTAATTGTCAGGGTATGTATTGGTTTTTAATTAAAAGCCATCCTTCCATCTAAGATACGAAAATAAATTTGGAAATTCTTTCAGGTTTCTATATTAAATTATTTTTTATTTTCCTGTTCTGTTTTTCCTTGAACAAATCATGAATGTCCTTTTATGTCTGCATGTTTTGTTTTGTTTTGTTTGAAGGAATTGAAGGCTTTTGAAAGTGTTATGCAAAACAATGCAGCAATTCATCCTAGTAGTGGTGAGCGTTAAGTGTGCTAAGGGATATAGTACTTGAATTGCAAGAACGTGAATGTGTTGGATTTCAGCCATGTGCTGAAGAACTAGGGCCAAAACATTCCTGGAGTCTAAATTTGTAACTAGTTGCATTGGCAGGGGAGCAGGACAGTTTGATCAAATCAGTCTGGAGGTTTAACTACAGAAAGGAGGGTTTCTTAGTTAATGTAGAATTATTCAGTAGTTGTGAAGGTATAATCTGCTGTTAATAATAATGGGAAAATGGTAGAAAATGGTACTTCATAAATTAACTTATGTCTTTATAGAGTTATGTGCAAAAAAACAAGAAAATTTTAAAAGCTGCCAAAGACTTGCCTCCTGATGCACTTATTATTGAATACAGAGGAAAGTTCATGCTGAGAGAACAATTTGAAGCTAATGGATATTTCTTTAAAAGGTATGTTTATTCCAAATGTTTTAGTAAGGTAACTGTTAAAATGCTGTTTTGCCAAACTCTTGCCTCAAGTACGAGTGGGTCTTAGTTACCAGCAGTGTGCTGCATTTTACTGTTGTCTGATGAAAAATCATTGTAGCTGGAATCTGGTCGCCCCCTTCTCTTCTGAATATCCTTACAGATCTGTTCAGGAGTTAGTTTCCTCTTCCTTTGTTCTTCCCTGGTTACAGGATTCCTGCATTCTCATTGGATAGTTGTGCACCTTAAACCAGAGATTGGCGGGTTCTGCCATCCTAAAATAATTCAGAAGGTGATTGCAAAGACGTTCTCTTTTGTGAGAGAAGTAGATTTTAAGTCCATGAGGCTGAGAATGGGATTGGACACAGGTCAACTTGTGGCTGCTGTTCTACTGCCAGAGTTCTCTAGTTGTTTAAGTTACTGAGCAATGCTGGACTGCTTCCTCCTTCCTGTGGATCATTTTCAGTGCTGCCGTTAACTGCACGGACACACCTACTTGGGAAATTGCAAGAGGCCTGTTGGGAGGAAAGAGAACACAGAGCTTTTGCTTGGTAAAGATGGAAGTGTTCCCTGGCATTTGTAAGAGCAGAGCTTAAAGCACGTCTTGGCAAAATATTCAGATGCCCTCTTTCTTCAGGAGGGTTGGGTGCTAGTGATACTGCAGGTGTTAGGCAGGGATGTGGAGGTGTTACTTTATTCTTTTTTTTTTTTTACATGATTGTATGAGACACCTAAATTTCTACGTGAGTTTCATTTTAGGACCTGCCATAAGAAAAGTTTAAGAAAGATGAATCTTAACCTCCTGTCTTCCATGTCTAGTGCTTGCCCCATTACTGTTCCTCCCTTTTGATTGTACGCGGAAGAATTACATTCAGGGCTGTAGCTCAAACTTTCTCCAAATGTAATCTCAGAATACCAAATGTACCAGTTAGAATCACAAAGCTTGAATATCAATGTGTCATTCTCAGATTAACCCACAAATTTGGTGTATTGTGCCAAACATCACGTTACAAAGCTAACTAGTGTGAAGAATGAGTGATACTTAGCATCTTTAAAAATTATAAAACTCTGGTTTTCTTGTATCTTTTTCAGACCATACCCATTTGTTTTGTTTTATTCCAAATTCCATGGGCTAGAAATGTGTGTTGATGCAAGGACTTTTGGAAATGAAGCTCGATTCATCAGGCGTTCGTGTACACCAAATGCAGAGGTGAGCCTATACATAAATTAGGTTTTATTTACTTTGAAGTCTCCTTTTCCTAGAGTTTCCCAACTGATAATTTGAGCAGTCCCTACAATTTCTATAGAGATACTTTTAAGAAAACAAACAAAACCAACAACCCCCCCCCAAACCCAAAACCAAGAAGAAATTCAGAAAAACCCCAAACTAATTCATGATAATATAATCATGTTCTCTTGAATATAGGTGAGGCATGTAATTGAAGATGGAACAATTCATCTTTATATTTACTCCATCCATAACATTCCAAAGGGAACAGAGATTACTATAGCATTTGATTTTGATTATGGAAATTGGTAAGTATTTGAGCATACTGTTCTAAAATACATCTAATGCTTACTAAGTTATGTTGTGATTCAGAGTGGCTTTTTTCTGTATCATTTACTTTCTTGCATGCTTTAATAACAGGGCTCATTAAGCACTGTATTTACAATGAACAGTGTGTGTGTGTGGGAAGGGTTTCTTCTGTATTTTTATTACTGTGTATCTGTTACTAATTTCAGCAATGTTGCAGTTGCTTATAAATGATGTGGAAAAGATGCAAACTTGAATATGAATAAAGATGTACTATTGAAATTTCTTGTATATAGGTGTTCTGTAGTGTGGGGAGAGTAGAGGGAAGAAAATTAGAACGATTTGGTAATGCCTTACTTATACTACAGAGGCACTCTGAAATAAGTTCAGGAAGACAGTGTTTGTGGAATTGAGTTATAAACTGTATTTGTTTAATATGTGATTAAGAATGTTCAAGTACACTGAATGCTTAGTGCTTTAGATTCTGTAACCTATTACACATTTTCCTGATTATAACTGCTGCTCCTTTGGTTAATTGGGGGAAGCTCTAATAAACTGTTGCTGTTTTCTCTAAGCATTGTTTTGAAATGGTAAAGGAAATAATCAGTTAAGTTCCATTCGCATATATAGGAACTGTTACTCAAACACCTCTTTGCAATCTGATGGCAAAATAAGGCCTTTGAGTGATACAATCTAGTAATGATTTCTGTTGGCTAGCAGGAAATGTTCTAGGGTGTAGGTACGTTGTGCAGGAACACCTAGGTTAATACTAACTTTGGAAACAAGCATTGAAGAACTTCTTTCTGTATGTACACTTGGTCCAGAAGCAGTCCAGCTGTTTCATGTTTTGCTACAGCAAGGTAATATACTTTTCTGTGGTCTGTTCATAAGTCAGCGTGGATGCAGTGCTGTGCAGACATGCCTTTACTACTGCTGGACCTGAACTAGTTATGTCAATAGAGTACTACCTGTATGAATCAACTTGGGTTCAGACTAGCTCAAGATACCTTGCACTGTTAAGTGTTGCAGACGTACTCCTACATCCCTCACATGAAGACAGCCTGAGAAATTGCCTGGTTGATGGGGTTTTTGGGTTATGTTATTTATCCTTTTAAAAGTATGCAGTAGTTGTGTTTAGTACCTGCAGCTGACAGGCTATGCAAATTGAATGTGTTCAAGTAACAGTTCCTGCATATCCAAGTTTAACTTCAAATGGTACAAAGTGACTCTGAGTTCTTTCCAGTGTGCTCGTTCTGTAAACTGTCTGCTGTCTTTGCATAAAGCAAGAACCTTGCCTTGCATGTGTCTGTTAATTTCTTTAATGTGGTGGTTATATTTCTACCAGAATATACTCAGGTTTTAGATGTCTTCTGTCTTTTAAGCAAATACTAACCTTGAATTTAAAAGAAGTCCCATGTGACAAAGAGCCACAAATCCTGTTAACCAGTACATGAGGTTTTTGAGTTGCAGCAGTATTGCATATCTGGGTGAAAACTTGAGTCACCTGCTTTTAATATGGTTGGTTTGCATCATAGCAGATGTTTAATGTGAAATGTATCAGCTTGTGTGATTTACTATTGAAAAGTCTTATTGCTGTACAGCCTAATCAAAATACACCTTCTTGTATTTGATTACTTTTAGTAAATACAAAGTGGATTGTGCTTGCCTCAAAGAAAACCCTGAATGTCCAGTTCTCAGGCGTTCTGAGCCTACAGAAAACATCAATACTGGATACGAAACCAGAAGGAAAAAAGGAAAGAAAGAGAAAGATGTTTCAAGAGAAAAGGAGACTCAAAATCAGAACATCACATTGGACTGTGAAGGAGCAGCCCCCAAAATGAAAATCGCAGATAATAAACAGAGGAAGCTCTCTCCCCTCAGGCTGTCCATTTCTAATAATCAGGTATTGACACAAAGATGATCAGAAAGAAATGCTTTTAAACACAACTACTCTCCTTTTGTAGTTACTAAAGGAATTTTAACAAATCGCTGAAAAGGGACATAGAGATTTATCAAAAATCATAATGATGGATAAGCTCTTTAGAGATTTTTTTTTTTAATAATACTCAGTTTTCCATAATACTTGATTGTGTTTAAAGATGTGTTGGTTTCCATACCAGTTGTAATTATACATTTTTCCTCTGAATTTCTTTGTGGATCTTTAATGTGAAAGCCTCATGTTATGATTCAAGAGTACCCATTCTGAAGTGTCTTTTGGTTAGTTGCATACGTTACTCAGGTGTGTAGTATTGTAAACATACCAGTAAGTAGCCCTGTTCCTATAAACAAATAAAAATTTCAACCCAGAATATTAAGTGTTGACTGCAGCTCTGTGTTTAGTAGAGCTCTGCAAATAGAGTTTGGGGAGTCAGTGGTAGTGAATTTTAAATTAATCTGTGGTTTTTTTTAATATGTCAGTTTGAAAGAACTAGTGGAGAGATCCATGAGATTAATTACTAATTTGATTTTGCAGAGCAGCTATTGAAGATAAATATCTAACATGAGCAGATGGTTACCTTAGTAACTATCTGTCTTTTTGGGGGGTGGTGGTGATTTATTTTTTTTTTCCTTCTATAGAGTAGAATCATAGAATCATTATGGTCAGAAGAGACCTCAAAGATCATCAAGTCTAACCCTATACCTGATGCCACCATGCCCACTAAACCATGTCTTGAAGCACCATATCTAAACATTTTTTGAACACCTCCAGGGATGGTGAGTCCACCACTTCCCTGAGGAGCCCGTTCCAATGCCTAACAACTCTTACAGTGAAGAAGTTCTTCCTAATATCCAGCCTGAACCTCCCCTGGTGCAACTTGAGACCGTTTCCTCTTGTCCTATCGCTCATTACCAGGGAGAAGAGACCAACCCCCACCTCGCTAGAACCTCCTTTCAGGTCCTTGTAGAGGACAATAAGGTCTCCCCTCAGCCTCCTTTTCTCCAGAATAAACAACCCCAGCTCCCTCAGCCACTCCTCGTAAGGCTTTTTCTCCAGTTCCTTCACCAGCTTTGTTGCTATGATGATTTTTGATGATGATTTAGAGAAAAAGGGATTTACTCTGTGATGTTAAAAATGAGCATATTGACCCCCAGTTTTCAGAAGATGATCAAATTGTTCAGGGGTTTTAGTGGCTAAATAACTTAAAAATGTTTTGAGGTCCAGAAGGCGGGGCATGTGACTGTTAAAAATTATGATGATCTCCAGAGAGGCAACATTTAAACTTTCTCGTCTTCAGTGATTTTTTTTGATTTTGTGTTTTGTTTTTAACAAGTGATAACATGCATTTGGAACCTTCTCCTGAGCTTTTAATGTAGCATACAGTGTTTATATAGAACTGTCATAGGAGAACTCGTATTGTTTTTTTGAAACTGAACTTGAAACAGTAGGAACTGTGAGAAGAACAAAGCTATTAAAACTTGTGTCTAAACGTAGAAGCCAGTCAATTAATAGCTTTTTTCCCTGGGATTAAATATATAATGCTAAGCTAAAGAAAGCATATGGGGAAAATTTAACTGCTTTTAAGACAAATGTTAAAAAAAGCTTTGTCTAGTCCTTTATGTAAAAGTGAAATTCCATATAGGACTAGTGAATGCCTAACTCTTTTCAAAGTTACTGTTTCATGGTTGGTTTGTGTGGAGGTTTTTTGTTTAGGTGTTTTTTGCTTGTGTTCCGG